TCAAACGCTTTAAACTGTGTCATTCTGAAATACTTCAACCAGTGGGCCTGTTACAGTTCAACTACATTTCATTATAATTTGAGTTTTAGTTTAACAAGTTGCTTACTGGAGGAGGCAAAAATACTAATTTATATATATAACCTGAACCTACCAGCTGGATCTGCAGTGAGCAGCATAAAGAGATGTTGCCAACTTAAATAACAAATGTAAAACTGGTCATAGACTATCAGCAATATTGTTTCAGTTGTCATTACTCTGTTGGTCTTAAAAAGTATTCTTTACAGTGACATTACATTAGGGTTAATGGAACACATGTAGGGGTCATGTGTCTTTGATGATATGAAATGATGGCGCCTGTAGAAAGAAGAGAAGTGGATGTGGAATGTGTCACTTTCCATATAAAAATGTAAAGACAAGCCAGTGTGTCAGTGATGAAAATGGCCAACATCTTATCATCTCAGCATCATCATCATCATCAACAGCAGCTTAGGACAGACGCTCTTGGACAACACTCTTTGGTGGTGTTTTGGCACCCAGCAAGGACCTTGTACAAGACCACGTTCAGACAGACAATGTTCTGGAGGTATGTTTTGTGGTGAGCGAGCTGATTGCTAAGAATCTGAAATCTCATTCAGAATGAGAATATGTGAACGTGTGTGTTGTTGCTGCTCCAGAGCTACTAGACCCAGACCCTGTTGCCTTAGCAACCATGGCACATGATATTGGAAACACACTTAGTAATACTGCAAGTGATTTGCATTTTGTTCTGCTATTAAACAGACAAACAAATACAAACCAATCAGACATTTTTCTGTGAGAAATCACTGCCACATTTGATAGAAGCCAGTCCATGATTTGGGTGAAGACGTGGTTTTGACTGAAAACAGCTTTTCCTTCATAAACAATGCACTGCCCTTCAGAGAGCATCAGGAAATAAACAGCCACGTCTCATTTTAGCATTTGGTCAAACTACACGTGGAGTTAACATTGAACTATCTCCTGATAAAATCTGCCACTGGTCATGTTCGTCATTAAAGTTGGCAAAGGTTGTAGCCAACACTGGCTAATGAGAAGCCTGCTGAAATAAACCAAATGTTTTTGCTCCTGGGTAGTACAAGGAGTCAAAAGATTTGATATGAGATTTGTTAGCGTTGCAAATTTGAGTTTTTTGCCATCAAAGAACTGGATCCAAAATGGAACAGTCTGCTCCATAGCATTGCGACATGGCAGTTACATAAAGAGACACGGATTCTTAACCTTGTTGACATATTTTAAGATGTTGTATTGGAAACTTCTTATACTTCCATAGACAGTAAAAAATTATACTTATTGGGAACTGAAAAGTAAACTCTGTGAACAGAGTCTTTGAATCCGAACCGCAGTTGCAATCCTGATTTAAAGCCAGGGTTTGCTTGAAATTGGCTGTTCAAATGTATGAAGACTGTTACCAGCTGTCCAACAGGTCAAAGTAAAAGCTGTCAAAGAGGCTGGAGACATAACTGTTAAAAGGAGGACACAGGCACATACCATCCCCATTAGTCCAAGGTTGTTGAGGTTCTGATGATTTAGGGCCAGTAAGTGACTGGGGATATAGCTGGAGAGAGATGTTTTGGTTGGACTAAATTTTGGTCCGTTGGTATGGACAGTTGTCTCAGGCACCTTTCACAAGCAGTTTTTTTTTGTTTCAGACTTAACTGAAAAATAAAACAAGGTGGGTGTGAAAGCGCCCTAAGAGTTGGAGTGGGTGAAAATTCAGGGTAAAGATATGTGCGCCGAGAGAACTCAACACATGCAAACAGAAAAAAACATGTGCTAATTAAGAAAACATCTTCATCAATTTGATTACACATGCACTGCAATAAGTCACAACACATGCAAATACAGAAACACGCTGCAAATTAAGAAAACAACAATGGAAATGTTTTCAGGGGACCCAAAAAAGTAGCTTTGGGAAGTTATTGACGTCTGCTACTCGTCAGTGGTAATGAAACTTCATAAAGCTTTAAACTACAGCCAGGTTCATCACCTGGCAAATCATCTAATCATGATTTCAATTACGTTCTCCAGAGAACCCTGTTCAAATAAACTTTATCATACTGGATCTGTTTCCAATGTAAACAAAGCTATAATGACATAATTGCACCAATAACGATGGTGTTTTTCTTCCCTAAAAACCTTTTGGGTCTACAAAAGTCAAGTGCAAGTTTGAACTTTACAAACATCATGCTCCCATAAAAGTCAGGCTTGTGCATATGGTATGCATTTGAGTGACATCGACTTCCACAGACAATAATGTGTTGCTCCCACCAAGCTTGAGAATAGAAATGCTCTCCTTGCATAATAGGGAACAAAGTATCATCCCCAACTTAGTAACAGACTCCCTGTTTTGCCATGGACGGTGTGAGCGTGTGAGTCTGACATGCAACACTCCCTCAATTGGGGCTGGAAATTATTTCGTTGCCACACAAATTAGGGCCACTTACGTCAGATGAGACTGAGCTACCCTCTGTGTCTAACAGGATGTCATAGGTACACAAACACCCCGTCAAGCTGACAGCCAGGCAAAATTACCTCCGTTGGACCAGGAGTGTTTTTGTCTCTCTCCCCACCCTCTTCCCTTAGCAACCATTAGTCGTCCTCAACAGGCAGAATTAACACCAAACGTTGTCTGATTTTTTCATTCACGACTTAGTTGCTGATGGAGAAAGAGGAATTCCTAATGTTCAGCTCATTGGTGTGTGAGGGGAAGGTCTGATCGTTAACACAGGCATACGTACATATGGTTTGTGTTTTAGTTTCTTGTGAGTGCTCTGTTTTGAGTTCAAAGAAGCAGTGGACCACAGCTTGGAAACCCAAACAGTATATGCTGTGCTGTGAACTCGATCTATAGCATCAGTGAACTAATGTACAGTACATGCTTTCTGTGTGCCTATGAGTGTGTGGGTGAACTTGTGAAAGCACATCGCTTGCAGGTAAATGTTTGATGGGGTAATGAAGCTTTGGATAAATGGAACAAAAACAGCCGGTGTTCTCCATCCGTCCTCTGTGATTCCAGTTGGTAAACAGCACAGCCGGTGTTTTTAAAGGCAGGTTTGCATATAATTTTAGACTAGGAGTTCACAGACAGTAAATTAAAGGTGTGCATGATTTATTCAATCTGATATAATCTTTGTGGGTTCACAGAGGTTTCAGTTCTGCCCTTAAGGCTAGAATTTGTATCACTAACAGATCATAATCCTGTTTTATATAAAACACAATGTAAAGGAAAAGACCACAAGGAAATGATCATACATTCCCTTATGTCGGTCCAACAAGAGCTTTGTATTATATCTCCAGGAAGTAATAATCTTATATCCTGTTTCACATTAGCATGCACCAACTCTGTTCCACCAACATCTGAAATCAGCAGTGAAGCCAGTGACATCTCCCTGGAAGGATAGCGTCTCTTCCATCAATATGGATCTGTAAACTAAATAAAATACTTAAGATATAGCTAAGAATATGTTTTATGTGTATATTATTAGCTTGGAAACAAATGCAGGGCTGTCCAACTAACAATCCAATCAACTACGTGAACAAGACACAACTGTAGCATCACCAACTGTATAACTTTCTGTCATGTTAGCTCTGCAGTAAACGTAATGTAACGCAAAACCATACATTCATAGCCGATATGACTTTTGCAGTTGTGGTAAACATTTCCATGGTAACAGTGAGGTTCTCCAATCCACTGAAGGATGGATATTTTGTTCCGAAATCCTGGTACCACACTGTTGAGCTTTATTAAGTGTTTAAATATTTAGCAACAACTATGCAAGAACTGGTTAGTGGGAGACGTTTTGATTGGATATGAATGACAGGGAAAGAACCAGCAGTCATTACTGCAGGTATGTCCAACACAGATTTGGTAGTGCAAATCTAAATTGTTAAAAGCTGTGGGTGTGACGCACAGGGCACATGCATCACGGCTCATTTGCTGTTTCTTGTAAAACCAGCAGTGTTTTTTCTTATCACTGAAAAAGGAACATAGTTCTTAGGAATGAGTTCCGGCTTCAATTATTGCACCAATGTAAGAAAAGGAAAAAAACAAGCTTCAGTGACGCTGAACTGAAATGAACTGATTTAGTATCCAACGAGCATTTTTCTGTCCACCACACATTATTTATTTTACCATCACTTTCCACTTTGACCACAGTACAAACTATCCCAGACTGCACCTATTATAATTAACTATCAAAGTAAAATATCCAGTGGATGTTGAGTAAATACAATCAAAGCCATCCCAGTGTGTAACGATGTTGTAAAACATCCCCCGGCAACCATTAAAATGCACAGCGGACCACATTACAGGCTGAATGGTTCTCTAATCTTCAGTAATCTCTGGTTGTAGGATTTGACATGCACCAGAGTGTCTTCACCCCCCTGTAGCATTGCATCGTGACCTACCACCCCTGTTTTTGCGTTTCATGTAAATATAGTGTGTAATGACACACTGTCAGCACACAGATGCTATTATGGCCTTCCTACCAGGCAGAGGTCATCTTTGCCACCCCGCCCAAAGGAGGGGCCGCCTCACCACCATGGTTAAAGGCCCTGCTTTCACCCAGACCAAAATGACAGACGTGATTTTATCTTTGCATTTCGACCAGTGTTTGTGGTGCAGAGTGCTGAGAATTCTATCTGAAACTTTATAAGGATTCTAGAAGATGCTCGCTGATTTGTGGAAATGTTTCTTTTTTTTTTTTAAATTAAAACTTTAGCCCTTAACTGCTGATTCCAGATGCTGAAACTGCCCACATGTCAGGACAGGTGTCACACTGGTGAGGCCAGAGGGAATACAGCTTTGACGTTTCAGCGTTGAATCAATCCAAGAAAACATTTGCAAATGTCTTCCTTTGAAGGTCCACATGGTGATAGACAGTGATAGTGTATGTGACTGTGGACATAACATCAGAACTCTGTTCAGTGCTTCATTCTCTCTTTCTCCTCTTCTCTCTCAGACCTGGCTGAAGAACTACGGTTACCTGCTGCCTCACAACGTCCGCACCTCGGACCTGCGGCAGGAGAAAGCCATGCAGTCTGCTGTGGCCGATGGTTGTGTGTCAATTTATCAATTATCACAGAATCGCTGGATTCCAGGTTTTTCTTGACTGTACAAATGCTGCATTTACATCTGTGTGAAATCAAAGATCCATAGTTGGGAACATTTCTGTGATAAATCTTCAGTCTCGGTGATCTGTTTGCTTATATTAACGTTTACGGTTTTAGAGGTTATTAACTCTACAGACTGAGAATCTTCTTCGCCGTGTTTTTGCTGTTATTGTATAATTTTTGAGTTTTTATAAATGAGTTGAAACTTGTTGTGTTCAGGTGGATGAGGAGACCTCGCTGTGGCGTCCCAGATCATCCTCACACCAGCCGCCGACAGAGGAATAAACGCTACGCCCTGACGGGACAGAAATGGAGAGATAAAAAGACCTCGTACAGGTATCCATCCATTTATCCATTTATCCATCCATCCTCTGCTCCCTTTTTCTCTCCCTTGCAGATTGTGTCTCTCCCCCTTCCGTCTCCCAGTCTAAACGTTGCTCAGCCTAATGTAAATTAGCTGCGTCCCACGGGACCCTGAATGCATCTCACATCTCATCCTCCCACTCCTCTTTGCATCTTTTTNCACCATCTGCATGTTTTGGCCACAGGTCTTTTGGCCAGTTTCAGCGTTCCACACCATTAATTCAGATCAGACGACTGCTATCTAGCTGACTGCCTAACACACACACACACACACACACACACACACACACACACACACACACACACACACACACACATCTCTGGGCTTGAGGGTGGGAGTTGGATTATAAATAAATATATTTTATAAAGGTATTCTCTTTATAAATCTTCACTCCCGTGTTCTCAAACATATATTCACTGTCAGCAGATATTCTATGTTCTAACAGACTGAGCCACAGCTGCCAATCACAGAAACGTGCCGACTGTTGGGGAACAAAAGACACCAAAGTTTTGGACTGGGTCGGGATCATCCTCTCTCTCTCTCTCTCTCTCTCTCTCTATATATATATATGTATACTCTATATATCTGCAGTATAACGAACTCTGTTTTTCTTTTTCATTGCAGCATCTCCAACTTCACCCCCAAAGTGGGTGAGAAGGACACGCAGAGAGCGATCCGACAAGCCTTCAACGTGTGGCAGACCGTCACTCCGCTCTCCTTCCAGGTCAGAGACATTTTCACTTCAGCTGCTGTTTCATTAAAAAATCATCTGGTTACGTTGCACAGAGGAGTCACTTCGAGTCCAGACATTAAAGATGTCTTTCCTTTCTGAACATCGTTATCCTGCTCAGGAGGTGCCGTACTCAGAGGTCAAAAACGAGGGAAAGGAGGCGGACATCATGATCTTCTTTGCCTCTGGTTTCCATGGTGACAGCTCTCCGTTTGACGGAGAGGGGGGATTCCTTGCCCACGCCTATTTCCCTGGTGCTGGCATCGGAGGAGACACACACTTTGACTCTGACGAGCCCTGGACGTTGGGCAACGCCAACAATGACGGTAAGTTGCTTCATAACTTCCTGCGTCTTTCTTTGTGCTCCAATTTGTTATTTGTCAAATCGAGAACTTTAGAACAAATTAAGATTCATTTCTTTGACCTGAGTTAGTGACTGATTTCAAGAACAAAGTGTCATCACATGACACCAGTACTGGCCTCTCCTCATTGGCTATAATAAGATTTGAAATGTGCTGACACCACTTTATGTAGCTGAACCGATGCATMTTCGTACTCCCGAGCTCTGAGGTGGACCAGCCTATTGCTTCTGGATGTCCCGAGGTCTCGGAAACTTTTCATATTAGAACCACTGAGACACTAGAAACKTTTAAATCCTCTCTGAAGAGCAGCTTCTTCCCTCTGGCTTTCAACTCAAATTGAGRGCTTGACTTAATCTGTTATTGTACTGTATTTTCATTTTAAAAATATATATATGTTTGATATTTTCTGTATTCAGTGTTTTCTATTTTGATCTTTTTAGTTTGGCCTATGTCCCATTTGTTAACATGGTGGAGGCCGAGTTTATAACCTATTCTGCAGAGATGGGGTGACTTTAACTTTCCTTTCTTGGGTGTGGTGATCCRTCTTTATTTGTTTGAGTTTCCCATGCTGTGATTATCGTGAATCAGGATTTTAAGACTGTTTTCTTAAACCTGTGTTGTTGGTGTGGTGAGATTAATTTTACACAAATTAAATCGAGGTTATTTGTAGATACTACTAATATATAGATACTAATGTTTCTTATCTAAAAAAAATCAGGCTGTGAGTTCTTTAAGTGCCCCTCAATTTATATTTCCAATGTTAGTAATGTAATTATTAATGATTGTGATTGTAAGGGTGTGATCCAGTTAATTCAAACAGCCGCTGATGGTGGGATGATCACTGTGGAGGTGGCTCAGTGAGGACCTGTGACACACGAGAGKAAGGACGGAGACAGAGACTGAGAGACTGAGCTGCAACGCTAGTTGTCCAGCAGAAACTCCTTTTAGTTTGTTTTGGACCTCCCGTGTTTTAAGTGACCGATAAAGATGCTGCAAAGCATTTTTCTCTGGCTGTGTGTGGGGGACCCTTGTGTTAGAGTCAATTGCCACAATCACATTCTTCAGTTTCATGTCAAGCTCTTGAAATGTGACGGTTTCCCCACTGTGAGCATCAGACTGTTTAGTTGTTGGATGAAAAATTGAAGGAAGCTCTGAATTTGCTGCATCACGTTAAAACTGATYGTGTACGTCGGACTCCAGGATGAACAGTCACAGGAAATATTGGATTTCTTAAGTTTTAATGCAMCACTTTCACTATTTCTTTTTACTTTTAGCCCTTTGTTAAACTGCGTATTTATCATGATATACAGATTAGTAAATCATCGATCAATACTGTCAGTCAATACTTCAGTCAGGAACACTATGTCATGATTTACCCATTTGTTGCAAATGGGGATACAGTTGTGATTGGCGCTGAAGGCTCCATTCTTTGGCTGTTCCCTGGATTAGCTGAGCAGCGTGCTAAGATAAAACATGAAGCTAGAATGATGATATCTGTGTAGCAGCAAGCATGGTGCAGACCTGAAATTGTTGTCTAAGGAATGCAGGCATGCATCCTGTGAAAGGGTTTACTACTATTMTGTGACGAGAGTAGGTGCAGCAGCAGCATGCTGCAGACCTCTAAATTTACTGACTAAAGAATGTAGGCATGGGTTCTGTGAGAGAACATACTACTGTTATATGAATTGACTATGCGTAGCAGCAAACATACTGCAGACCTCTACAATTATCAATCAAGGAATGTGGGTATGCATTCTGTGAGAGAACGTACTACTGTTAATGTGTTGCAGCAAACGTGCTGCGACCTCTAGAACTATTGACTAAAGAATGTAGGTGTACATTCTGCGAGAGAATGTACTACTGTTATATGAGTTAGCTAAGTATAGCAGCAAGCATGCTGCAGACCTCTAATCTAGAGAGGTCATACTACTACTAATACTGTTAAGTGGAATGTCTATAGCAGACATCTAAAATTATTATTTAAGAATGCAGGCATGCGTTCCTCGAGAGGTTGTACTACGGTTATATGGAATATCCGTGTGTGGCAGCAAGCAAATAAGTGAAAGATTTGATGTTCAGTTATTAGCACTCATGTTCATTTTAGCTGAGATTTGAACAGAGAACATTAAAGCACAATTTTCACAGAACTAATTTGTTTCCYTGACCAGATTTGCCTCTGAGATGCGAGCAASGATAATAGGGTATAATTTAAATGAGCAGTGGGTTGAGGTAAGAGGGAAGATCAAGCAGTTCTTTGGACAAAACCGTGCATTATAGTAGATCCCCCAAAACTGATGGGAAAGGAAGCAGCATCAGTAAAGAATCTGATGGCTAGTGATGTCGTTGTTGAAGAGAAAAATTTGAATTATTCTGGATCAAATCTACGTTCTTCTACAAAACCATGCAGTTTATCCRCAATTTGTCAGAGGTCTAATAATCTAGAGATAAGTGATCTACCTTGGGGAATGAAATGCATGGCGAAATTAAAATGACCCGATTAAGACGAAGTTCCATTTTTGTAATGGATGCTGCATCCGTCGCACTTTCGTGGCTTCTCTAATTCGCGCTGGCTTTTGTAGAGGTAGTGATGCTGTCTTAATAAGATGCCTAATAAGACTATCTTTTTTAAATAGGCTTGGGTTTTCTTTTCTGAGAACGGGACACTTAACAGCTTAAAAACATTTTTTTTGTTGCTTTAATGCATCTATTTCAAGATTCAAGATTCAAAGATTTTATTGTCAAATACACAGAGAACACATGTTTCCCTATGAATTGAAATTCTTGTGCTGTCCTTTCTGGAATACCGACCAAATTTACATAAGTCTATGTAAGTCTCTCTAAATCTAATCTATTTGGCTGGGATTGAGAATAATCGAATACTACGAAATAGTCAGGTAGGTAAATGACGAATGCAAGTTGCAATTATTATTGAGCAATGTCCTACGTAGGCTTCTGAAAGAATATTGAATATGCAGCGCTGCWGTATAACCACAGAGCACCATTGTTGTGGCGGGGGCTGACAGATATACAATCTTTTTATTTTATTTATTTATACATTTTACTTTTACCTGAGTATTTCTGCATTGCAGTGCCGATGGATTAATGCAATAATGGGAAATGAAGGATCATCAGATGGGCCCCTCATGGCCCTTCTCCATCTCCTTAGACAGTAACTTGTCAATTAAATGTTTTTATTTTTTAAAGCTAATAGGAGATTATCACAGGCGTGTAATACTTTTGGCAGAATGCTTGAACCCGCCGAAAACCTTGGACCGAACCAGTCGTTTTATGATTACCAAACGTGGTTTGAGTGCTTCTTTAGAGCTTTACCAAGCTCTGATACATCACACGCTTATCTTTTGAGAGCGTGCGCGATGGCACACAGCCCGGAGAAGCCGTCTCCGCAATACTGCATGGGTTTGATTCGGAGCCGAAGAGACGCTGCAGCAGCGGGTGGGAAGAATGAGACTCCCGATGATGTTGTAGGAACTGCAGTTTCCAGAATTCTTTGTTGCTCACGGCGAAAACAGAAGATGCCCTGGATGCGGTGTTGAAGTTTATGGAGAGTTGTCTTGGTTCCCCCGGATGTGGAGGCGGGCGTCTGTGTCGCTGAGGCAGGACTGGTTGTTGATCAGTACGCGAGGACCGGGTCTTCGCCTACCATTGGAGTTGACAGAGCAGCCCGATCCTCTTCTTGTCAGTGTGTGTCTGGAAAAGTTCTTCGTGACTGACCTCTTTTGCGGCTGTAGTGGCCGATGAGGGATCATTCGTCTGTCCACAGATGCGGCATGGAGTAGCTGAGTAGAGTGACGAGCCGAGTGACGCTCTTAGTGATTATAATCGTGCTTCACGAGTTAGCAAGTTGCCGGCAGCAGGCGTGGATGGCAGTGTAGCTGAGCAGCGATCAGTGAGGATGAGGTTGTACTGTATGTCTTGTTAAAAGACTAAGTTTATTCAACAAAATGCAGAAATTTTTCAAAAATTCAAAAAGTAGAAATCATAGCTCTTTATGAACTACTTTTGTGTGTTGTATTTATTGAAAAAAATCAAAACGATCAATCGCTTGCTCATTGAAATACAAAGGACATGACGCCAATGTTTAAAGGAGTGGTTACTCCTATGCTCTTTCTCAAACACTCCTTTGTTAATCCTTTGAAGGAGCAAACACTCCTTTGAACATTACAACAATTCTCTCCACTTATTTGATCATAGCGATTTTATCATATATAACTGATGTGGTGGTACTGAACTTTACTCAGTTGACAACCGTTGAAGAAARARGAAGAAGAGCTCGTATTTTGAGGCAAGATGCTAACAATGAACATGATACCAAGAACCACCCAGGACCATCTGCTCCAAAATGAACAACATTCTCAGGGCAGACATGAGGTGTGGCCCATTAGGAGGGAGAGTTCCTGTTGTGCTCAAATGAAGCAGCTTAAGGAGGCACTTGGCTGCATGGACCAAAGATACAAAGCAGAAAAAGTAGAGAAGGAGACCCTGAAAACATTAATTCAGGAGCTTATGACCAGTTCCCACAGCCAGCCCTCCATTCAAGACATCACAGATGGAATACTCCTTCGAAAGAAGGCAGAGCTTTTACAGGATCAGGTATCTCAAAAAGACTCCATTATTGAAGTACAGAAGCAAACTCTTCTGTCTCTCAGTGCTAAGACCACAGAGTTACAGCATTGCAACAAGCAGCTGAAGCAGTCAGCCTTCTTTCCTTTTCCGTCTGTCGAGAGCCAACCAGTTTGCTCTGACCAGGAAAAGGTCATCAACAAACAAGTCCATGACCTCAAAGAGCAGCTTAAGAACTTGAAGCTCATAGATTTGTCTGAAAAAGACAAGGCAGAGATCATGGAGAGAGTTATTGTGGACATACAAAAGGGAAACACCCAGCAGTCCCAAACATCAGCACAGCTGATTGGGATTAATGATGTGTGTCAGACCTTTAGAAATGTGTGGACGAAAGACTATGCATTCAATAAAAACATGTCACAAAAGATCTCTGAGTATGCAAAGAAGTATGAAGACAAGATGAAGGAGTATGAACAGAAGATCTCCAACGATAAACGAAGGATGAAGGAGTATGAACAGAAGATCTCCAATGATAAACGAAGGATTAAGGAGTATGAACAGAAGATCTCCAATGATAAACAAAGGATGAAGGAGTATAAACATATGATATCTGAATTTGAACAGAAGACGAAGGAGTATGAACAGAAGATCTCCTACGATAAACAAAGGATGAAGGAGTATAAACATATGATATCTGAGTTTGAACAGAAGACGGAAGAGGATGAACAGAAGATCTCCTACGATAAACAAAGGATGAAGGAGTATAAACAGAAGATCTCCAACGATAAACAAAAGATCTCGGAGTATAAACAGAAGATCTCCAACGATAAACAAAAGATCTTTGAGTATGAACAGAAGATGTCCAACGATAAACAAAGGATGAAGGAGTATAAACAGAAGATCTCCAATGATAAACAAAAGATCTTGGAGTATGAACAGAAGATCTCCAACGATAAACAAAGGATGAAGGAGTATAAACATAAGATATCTGATTTGGAACAGAAGATGAAGGAGGATGAACAGAAGATCTCCAAGGAGGAATTGAAGATCTCTGGGTCTGAACAGAAGATCTCACAGGACAAAGACAATGAATTAGAATTCGCAGCGAGCATTGATTCGTGGGATGAGGACTCTAAATCATGGGACCTTGAATCAGAGGTCTCAGATGATGAACCAAAGGTCTCACATGAAGAACCAGAGGTTTTCGATGTTGATAATTCAGAGGTCTCAGATGAAGAACCAAAGGTCTCAGATGAAGAACCAGAGGTTTTAGATGTTGA